AGGCCAAATTTGCATTAACTGATAAACTTTCAGAGAAGAGTGGAGTTTCACTTGAGTGTATAACACACAACCAATCAGTGAAAAACTCCACAGTCTTTCCCTAGATCTCTACCTTTGTCCCCCAGTCCCCTTCCCATACTCCCTCTACCTGAGTAATATCTGCATTTGAAAAGGTTCTGGAAAATTTATTCATGTCATAGGCTAAGACCAGACTTCAGACAAGAGGCCAGGGTAAATATGTAGACAGAAACAATCATAGGATGGAGCAGGGAAATGCTCACTGAGCTTGCTGACAAACGCTCCATTACTGGCTGTAGGATACTGCTTAGGCACTTGAGCCAGTCCTTCATCTGTAAAACCTAAAATAGGAACAGTACTCATACTGTTTGCCATCACAGACTGTTGCAACAATTACGTGAGATTATATATACATGCTAATACCTAGTGTGTATTGTGTATAAAATAGGCATTTATATATCTATATACAGATATATATTGTAATTGTAATGTGCGCAATCTTCCAGTCTCCCATAACAGCTTAATTCAAAGATAAATGCATCCTATAGACAGAGACTTCTTTTATGTCTCTTTAAAATTCTTTATCTAAAATTTGAATTAACTCAGTTGAATAGAAATAAGAAGAAGGCAGCTTCAAATAATTAATGTATGGCCTCATGTGTGAGGAATGAGCACATGGCGTTCAGCAAGCATTTTCCCTACTCTTTGGTGCCACTCCCACCAATCCTTCTCACCTCCTCATGAGACCATCCTAGATATCTTGTGAAGCTGAAGAGATCAAGCCTTGACCTTCATAGGTGAGTTAATATTACTTATCTTACCAAACAGCACTTATTACCAAATAAAATTTTTTCACACCCCATAATTGAAATTAATAAATTTCTAGTGATAGAAATTAAGACAATCCAATATATCGTTTTTAGCAAGCCTATCTTCCTGTTTTCTCTGTCACACACACACACACACACATACACACACACACACACCACACACCGTTTTGCTCTACATTGAAAAAGGGACTGTATTATGTCCCTCAAAAAACACAGATAGGAGAAAGTGGCTTGGTAGACCATGGTATTTCTTCTTTAAGGTTTACATTTTACATATATATATATTTTATTTATTATACTTTAAGTTGTAGGGTACATGGGCAGAACGTGCAGGTTTGTTACATAGATATACACGTCATGGCGGTTTGCTGCATCCATCACCCCGTCATCTACATTAAGTATTTCTCCTAATGCTATCCCTCCCCAATCCCCCCACCTCCTGCTATCCCTCTCCTAGCCCCCTACCCCCAACAGGCCCTGGTGTGTGATGTTCCCTTCCCTGTGTCCATGTTTTCTCATTGTTCAGCACCCACTTATAAGCGAGAACATGCGGTGTTTGGTTTTCTGTTCTTATGTCAGTTCATATTTAAATATATCTGAAAACTGCCAGTTATAAACATGACTGCAATTTCTACTTTTCAGTCCATTTTTGCAGCATCTAGCTATAATCTTATGTCAGGAGGTTATTTGATAAGCTTCATTCTTTCCAAGATAAAATCAGGAGGCTGCAATCTCCTCCATTGTTTCTTGTGCAATGGAGGTAGCAAAAGTAATCATAAGAGGGACTGCAGCACTTTTCTTCTCCCCTAAAATGTCCCTCATCCAAGGTGAATGGTCAAGGGTGTCTGCTACTATCCTACCAATGGACTGAAGGAACTGACTGAGAGGAAAGTTGATGGTGTACGGGACCTAAGAGGTAAGGGAAGGAATAAGGTAAATGGTGTCAGAATAAAAATCATAGATGGAAGAATTATCTGGGAACCCTGGCACCTTATCTTCAGAGTCTAGAAGAAAGGAAGGTGGCTGCAAATGTAGATAGGTTTATGGGATTTATGACAGGAAGGTGTGGGATTAACATTTGCTATGTGTGTTTTCTTGGCAACCTCTGGGAGGAGGTCATCTCTAGAAAATGAGAAAGTGAGTTAGGAAGGTAAGGAGGTTTGTAGTAGTCACAAAGGGAAAGGGGAGACAAAGAAATGTAAGTAGCACTTAAAAGCTCTGCTAAAACAACCCAAAATTTATGGTGTCAGCAATTTTATGCTCTAGTATATCATCTCCAGCAGCCCTCAATAGAGAAAGCAGAGGGGGCAAATGCAAATTGCAGGATTTATTTATTTATCAAATAAATATTTATTGAACATCTACTATGTGTTAGGCACTGTGTAAGAAGCTTGAGATAAAACCATGACAGAATAGACAAAATTATTTGGTCTTTTAGACTTCACATTTGGAGGGGAAATGCAGAAAATAAAGCCAATTAATAATATTATAGTATATCATGATAAGTACAGAGAAGGGGATAGAGCTTGTTGAGACGGAAGAGGGTTTCTCATTTTGGATAGGGAGTGTGAGAAAGACCTCTCTGAGAGGTTGAAAGAGAGCTAGCTATTCAGTTTTCTGGAAAGCATGATTCAGGCAGAGGAAACAGCAAGTGCAAAGGCGCTAAGACAGGAGTGTCCATGGTAAGTTTGAGGAATGGGCAAGAAACCCAGTATGAGGACAGGACCAATGTGTGCAAGGAGTAAAATGGTATAAATTAAGTTCAGAGAGAGAAGGTTGGAAGTCCACTTTGGATAGGGTCTTGTGGCCCATAACTTTTCAATTGATTCAGTGTTGAAAGTTTGAGGGACTATGAGGTGTGAGGACGGGGCACGGGAGTGTTGAGAATGTCAGTGAAAGTAAACTTCAAATGATCATTGAGAAGGGAAGGAAGTGAATCCAAGAGTGGGCAGGTAAATTGGGAGCCTCGTGAAGAATGGGAAGAGAATCAGGAGAATGAAAACATAGAAAGCAAAAGATGAAGAGTTTCTAGGTAGGGGGTATGCTTATTAATGAAAATTAACATTTATTTAGCGTGGCTGATGTTCTAAGTGCTTTGTGTTATTATCACATTTAAATTTCTCACCCACCTGATGTGGTAATAAATATTATTTTCCAAATGTGCAGATGAGCAAATTGCAGCATAGAGAGAATAAGCCACATGCTCAAAGACATGCTGCTGGTCAGTGGCAGAACTAGGATTTGAATTCTATTAGTCTAACTTTTATGCTCCCTTCCTCTCTTTTCCCTGCAGTTTTGCTGAAGTATAATCGACAAATAAAAATTGTATGTGTTGGGCCGGGCGCGGTGGCTCACGCCTGTAATCCCAGCACTTTGGGAGGCCGAGGTGGGTGGATCACGAGGTCAAGAGACCGAGACCATGCTGGTCAACATGGTGAAACCCCGTCTCTACTAAAAATACAAAAATTAGCTGGGCCTGGAGGTGCATGCCTGTAATCCCAGCTGCTCAGGAGGCTGAGGCAGGAGAATTGCCTGAACCCAGGAGGCGGAGGTTGCGGTGAGTTGAGATGGCGCCATTGCACTCCAGCCTGGGTAAAAAGAGCGAAACTCCGTCTCAAAAAAAAAAAAAAAAAAAAAAATTGTATGTGTTTAAAGTGTACAACTTGATGTTTTGATATGCTTTGTATTGTAAAATAATCACCCCCATCAAGCTCATGGTCATATCCATCACTTCATATAGTTTCCATTTTCTTCTTTCTTTCTTTCCCTGCCCCGCCCTCTCTTTCATCTTTTTTTCCTTTCTTTTTTTTTTTTTTTTTTTTTTTTTGGTGAGCACACATAACATCTACCCTCCTTGAATGCTCCTAAGACACCTATATGACTAGAATGAATGTAGATCCATGGGAAGTGGCTGGTAGGAGGTCATTGGCAAGAGTTGATGGGAATGGAAGCAGTACTTTGTAGTAATTTAGTGACTCAGTAGATAGCAAGGAAGTGGAGGCAGCAGGTGTTGGATTGAAGAGACAGGGGCGTTATGGATAGTGACATGAAGATGATGTAGATTTTTTTTTAAAGAGAGATTTACATTGGTTTATAGCCTGAGAGGAAGGTGCCAGAAGAAAATGGCACAATGAAGACAAAAGTGTGAGTTGAATAAAATATAGAGCAAGGTCAAGGAACAAGTTTGTACGGTTGGAGTTATGAAATAGCCTGGGAAAGGAATACTCCATTTTATAGACAAATAACTGAGGACCAGAGAAATGAATGGTGAACCTAAGGTTACAGAAACAAACAATAGCTCAGGGACCAGAGTCCGGGTTTTCTGATTGCCAAGACAGGTGCTTTCCACTAGTTCACCCAGCAACTCCTGCTGAATCATCCTCTGCTGGTTACTTATCCTCATTCCAAAGGAAATTATTGTAGTTAATGAATAAATACAGTGTAGCCAAAACCCACTGTAAACGCACAGCTCTATAAAACACAAAAGACACCTTGTCCTTCCAGTTTCCTTCACAATGCCCTCCCCTCAGCTCATTCGCACTGACTAATGACTTTTCTTGACTATAAACTGCCTTCAAGATACTGAAGCATCCCAGTATTTATACTAAGTGGGGACTCAGGTGGAGGGAACTAAGGTCACCCTCAGGGAATTTCTTGCTGAATTAGGTTCCACTAAGCCTTGAAATCAAAGTTTCTGGTAGGTAAATGGAGTACAGATGGGAAATCAAACCAGTGTGTGACTGGGCATGATTTAGAGCAACTGTTATTGATATCACAGATCCTAGCAAGCAACCTCATGAGAGCCTGGATTTTGGTTGCAATGCAAGCAGGTGAAATGAATAATTGCACTTTTGACTTTTGAATTTCCTGCACCATGCCAGTGGTTATTACAGCCATAATCTGGGCCATGTATATTCTAAGGAGGCTTTTGATTTAAGAACCTAGATTTTTTGAGAGGTATGCAATGTTCATTGTACCTCTATGCATAAGATTTTATGCAGATACATTGATGATGCAAAATTTTTACGAAATACACGTTTTTAACTTTGGGAGAATAGTTTATTTCTAACATACATTATCTTGGTCAAACATTGAAATTCTTGATTAATGTTTAACTATAAGAAGTATACTCAGTTCAAGCAAAGGATCAGTTTCAGGTTTCAGGCTGAAGTGTCTTGATGACTGGAATTCAGGTTCCAAGCAGAAGCCCACAAGGCCAAGGGTACTGGATATAACGGAAGTGGAAGCTATACCTGACTTTTAGAGAATGTGGACCGGATATCAGATCTTAATCTTCTCTTATCTTACTACAGAAATCTGGATGGAGAAGCAGTATTTATCTCAAAGAGAAGTGGATCTAGAAGCTTATTTCACTAGGAATCACACCATTTTGGAAGGTACCCGATTCAAAAGATCCGTTTTCCAAGGGAGATACTGTAGGAATTTTGGTTGTTGTGAAGACAGAGATGATGGCTGTGTCACTGAGTTCTATGAGGCAAATGCATTGTGCTACTGTGATAAATTCTGTGACAGGGAAAATTCTGATTGCTGTCCTGATTACAAGTCCTTTTGCCGTGAAGAGAAAGAATGGGATCCTCACAGACGGCCTTGGTATCCAGAAGGTAGGCTTTGGGAATGTGTTTCAACATTATCCTCGTTCATAACAACAAGATCTGAAAAACTTTCTCTTTTTTTCTTCTTTATTTTTTTCCTTCTTTCAATGAAATAAAAACGACTACTGTGATTGAGAAAATAAATTTATTTGGATTGTTAACGTGCTTTTGTTTGGATATGGGGTTCCTGTGTAATACCAGCACCTTCAGGTAAGTTCTGATTTGACAGTCCTGAGTGCTGACTGGAATCCTGATCAGTGAGTTTTGAACACTCACTCAATTTATATAAGGATTACTTACAATTCTTTCTTCTCTTCTCTCTCTCTGCTTTGTATTGACATCAGGATTCTCAAGCCTTTTTGTTTGTAACCTCTTAGTCTCAAAAAAGTCGCAAGATTTATTTTCTGTAGATTTAGTTGTTATTTCAAGGGGCTAAAAGACGCACTAGCATTAGAAACTGTGGTAATAGTAATGCTATTAAAACTAGGATAAAATAAAATAAAGTCAGTCACCTAACTGTAGTAAGTGGTACTACTCTGCCTAAGTAATAGCAAATATATTCTTCATGTGTATTTTTGTTTTGCTTCATTTTTTTTTCTAGTCTGGGAATTTTAAAATTATCAAAAAAGAAAGAGGATTTCATACAAAGTCGTTGAAAATATCTAAGGTTAAATGGATAAACACAACGTAAGGAGGATGATAGTATTTACTATTGATCTAATTAGAGGAGAATGACTATGGATTTTGAGCATTTGATATAGCCAAGTTCTGCCACAAAATCAAACAAAATTCTACAACTACATTTAGATGAGGCTTTATTTTTCTGTCTCTTACCGTATTAAATCTCCTCAGCAGAACTTCAGGGTTAATCAGAGGTCTCTGTCACACTGTGGTAAATGGGCGATGGTGATTAGAAATCACAGTTAGAAGACACTTTAGGGTAAACTAGGGGCTTGGAATCCTTATTTCAAAAATCCTGATGTCATTTAAAAAGTCAGAGCAAGACTCTGTGTCAAAAAAAAAAAAAAATCCAGATGCCATACCCTTTATTCTCAATAATGTCATCTTGTTTGTAAAATTTAGGAAATGCCTCTTGATGTGTTTACATATGCATTATTTTATATTTTCCACCTAACTGTTATTTATCCGAGGCCTTTACATTTTTCCAATAAATAGCTTTTCCTTCTTCCTTCCCTCCACCCCTCCATTCTTCTCTCCCTTTTTTCCCCTTCCTCCCGTCACTTTGTGTGTGTGTATGTGTGTTGCTGCTCTGTCACCCAGACTGGAGTGCAGTGGCAGGATCATGGCTCACTGCAGCCTCGAACTCTTGAGCTCAAACAGTCCGCCTCCCTCAGCCTCCTGAGTAACTAGGACTACAGGTGTGTGCCACAATACCCCAAAGCTAATTTATTTTATTTTTTTGTAATGATGGGGTCCTGCTATGTTGCCTAAGCTGGTCTCAAAACTCCTGGTCTCAAGCAATCCTCCTGCCTTGACCTCCCAAAATGCTAGGATTACAGGAATGAGCCATTACATCCATCCTTTCCTTCCTTTCTTCCTTCCTCCCTATGTCCTTTCTTACTTCTTTTCCTTCTTTATTTTCTTCCTTCCTTCCTTTCATTCCTTTAATGTTTATGAGCCATTCCCATCTTTCCCCAATGGGAAACTCCTTTTAAAAAAATTTTACATACCCTTTTACAGCATGTAGCCTTATCTTGTATAGAGAAAAGAAGAGAGCATGTGCTTGAATTATTAATTTATATAGACCATATTATGCTACAGGCCTCATTCTGTTTCTTGATTTTCTCAGACAGCAGCGTGTTTTAAAACTCTTCCCATGTCTCCATGGGCTAGTATGACTAGTCTGTAGCTTCTGCCTGATGCCTAATTCTCTATGATATCCCTTCATCTCATCTAATTCCCTGCTTCCTCCATGGTGGGTGGACACCTAGGTTGTCTACAGCTCTTTGCTATCATAAAGAAGTCCATGAAGGACAGCGTCATGCATGCCTTCTCATCAACTTGCATGATACAGGCAACACTTGGATTGCTGAGTCCCAGCTATGCATTTAATCTAAGTCTTGCCAGATAGCTCTCAGAAGTAGGTGCATGAGTTTATACTCCCCTAGTGCTATATGGGGACACGTTTCTAACAGTATTATCCAGACGGGTAACCTTTACTTACATAATCAGTAAAACATGATTTCTCATTGTCATTTTAATTTGAGTTTCTCTAATTTCTACTGGGTCTGAGCTTCTCATAATATGCTCATTAATGTTTGCTCTCTTCTTCCTGTGACTTACTTTTTCCCATCCACAGCCTTGTAATACAACTTAATATCTGGTATAGCAAGTTAACTTATTCAACCCCCTTTTTAAAGGATGACTTAGGTCATGTAGACATTAATCTTCCATAATCAGTTATTGAATACATTTTTCTAGTTGCTCAAAAAACTTTAGCTAAAATTTTGAATAGAATTACATAAAATTTATAGACTTATTTGTACATAGTTGAACTCCGTAATGTGATGACATCTCATCAAAGAGTATAGGATGTTTCTCCACTTACTCTGATTTTTAAAAATATCCTTAAATAGATTGAACACTTGTCTCCATAGTAGCCTTATAATACTCTTTGTTTATTCCTGGATATTTTATGATTTATTTTGTATTGCTTTATTTATTTATTTATTTTTTGAGACAGGGTCTCGCTTTGTAACCCAGGCTAAAGTACAGTGGCACCATCATGGCTCACTGCAGCTTTGACATTCCTCAGGCTCAAGTGATTCTCCCACTTTAGACTTCCAAGTAGCTGGGACTATAGGCCCATACCACCATTCAAGGCTATTTGTTTGTTTGTTTGTTTTTTGCATTTTTAGTAGAGACTGGGTTTCTCCATGTTTCCTAGGCTGGTCTCAAACTCGTGAGCTCAGGCATTGTATCACATATTTTAAAAATATAATTTATAGTTGGTTGGCTGTTGTTATGAATAAGTCTTATTTATTCATGAGAGCTCATGTCCTATGCGGCAATTTTTCTCAATTCTAATACTAGAAATGATAACATATTTCTTTATCATTGTAAAGATGTCTATGCCAAAACTCCAAAGTAAACATAATACATAATGGAGAAATTATGTATAGGTTCCCTTTAAGGCTAGTAATAAAACATGAATGTCTACCGTTTTTGCTACATTTAACAAGAAGATTTTTGTTATGCTCTTAGAGAAAAAATGAAGTAAAAGAGTTTGAAGAAAAGAAATAAAACTTTCATTATTTGTGGATAATGTGATATTCTACATAGAAAAAATAAAACCAACAGAAAATAGCATTAATATGAGTTAGAAATATTTAAACCAGGGGTTTTTATTAAAAAATCCAGATATTTAGCTACTCTTGTAAAGTTGAAATATCTGACAGTTCTTGGTCCAGGGTCTTGTATGGTAACCATCAGTTAGAGATGAGTGGTGAATGAAACCTTTTGGTAACGTTTACCTTTTGGTAAATTTCTATTTTACCATATACCTCACCCCTTGCTATTTCCTCTCTGACCCACTTCTCTCATTTCTGCCAGGGGTTAATATGTCTGTAGTTTCTGTAAGTGGAGCTCCTCATTTTTGTTCAATATACAACTTGCACAACTGCGCATGGTCCCTTGGGCCATTACTATTGTATGTATTTTGAAATTGAAAGAAGGTGATTTCTTTGAAAATAGAAGGTATATTTCATTGAAAAATAGAAAATGTATGTTTAAAAATAGAAAATATTTTCTATTAAACATGTATTTCGCATGTATTGTCACATGACAAAATAGAGAAGTTCAATGAAAATACACCTTTAAAATGTGATTTTAATGTTGAACTTCTCTATTTTGTCAAGTAGGCATGATCATTAAAATAATAGGTCAAGTTAATATATGTTAATAACATGATGATAATACATAAGGCATCATAAGGAGTCCTGTGCCTAGGATTAGTTAGTGTACTTATTTAAGTATAGTTTCTAATAGTGACAAGATTGGGCAGTCAAGGAAATTCATCCCTCATAGAACCTGCGTATGGTAGATGCTTAATTAGCAGACCCCTCTGTAACATACGCGGAGTAGCAAGTTTTCTGCACTTGATCTTAGCCAAAAGGCCGAGTAGCAAGTTTTCCATTGTCTTAATGAACCCACTCTTCCTCCTCCTGCAAGCTAAGATTTATGGAATACTTACTGTGGAGCCAACAACTGTTCCAGGCACTTTTCAGTTATTCATTTATTCATTATTTAATTATTCATCGTTTAATAGAATATTACTTTATTTTAATTAAATAGCAGCTTTCTGAGAGCAAACGTGGTGATTTAGTTATTGTATACTAGCTATGGTGCCATGAAGAGGGAGGCCTAGTAAATATTGGTTGAATTTGGATTAATTGATATTTAGAGGGTTTTAATTTTCTTTCAAATTTTATATTTGTTAAATTAAATAATAATGTACTTATATGATTTAAAAGAATAAAAATATTTTCATAAGTAGCTTTTCATGCATAGTTTTTAAAAGATATTTGGAAAGTATCAAAGTATTATTGTCTGTAGTTTAAATGTGCAATTTCTATATTATTTTGGATGCTGGAACATTAACAGGAGTAATTGATAGTGTTTAAAACTTTTCATATCTCCATGATTGTGGTAAGCATTGAGGGTCATAAGAAAACAGTATTATAAAGTTCCAGACCTTGAGAAACTTAGCATCTACATAGGTAAAGAGACTTAGGTATGTGAAACAATTAGGAAGCATTGTGTGACTGGTATGCCCTGTGCAGACAAAAAACCCTGGAAAGCTGAGTATATTAAAATGGTTAATGTTTATGCACCATGTAAGAATATGTCCGATTGGTGACAACTCTAACTAAAATACCTATTTCTAACACATAGGATATTTTGCCTGGATTCACTTTGTCATTAGAGACCAGGCTCCATGCAGCCTTCTTCTTCACCATGCTGGAAAATGGCCCTTGTAGTCATTATCT